GAATTGGTGATATCACATTCGACAAGTATTTTTGTATGCTTCGTCTTTCATCGTTTTAAATTGGTGATTTTGAAAGGGACTCTTTTAGCCTTAGAATCAAACTTGAATGGGGACCAAATGACCTTGTCCGGAGGGATTGGGTTATTTGTGTCATCTCTGCTTGCGTCTTTAATACACCTGCGCATACTGGTTATTCGTGATAATATATATATATATATATATATATATATATATATATATATATATATATATATATATATATATATATATATATATATATATATATATATATATATATATATATATATATATATATATATATATATATATATATATATATATATATATATATATATATATATATATATATATATATATATATATATATATATATATATATATATATATATATATATATATATATATATATATATATATATATATATATATATATATATATATATATATATATATATATATATATAAAAGGGTCACGCATATGTATAAAGAAAAGGTGGGATCTTAAGGTCAAAAATTAGGGTGTGACACAATGATCTTTCCTTACTGGTTCCCTTTGCTTCTACTTACACCATAAATCATGGATGCATGTTTAATTATATTAAAGTCAATTATGATAAACTCCTAAAGAGCCATTTCATGCTCATCAAGGGGTTTATAAGACACTTCTTTTACTAGAGCAATATGTACTCTTTATAAAACTTCATTTTTTAGAAGATTTGAATTCATCTTTTAAAAGATCATATTGCTTTTTCAATGTTCTCATGTGTCTGGTTTTTTGTTGACACCAACCCATAAGGTCTTGAATGAAAGTAATTAAATTAGAATGAGATAGTTTAGAAAATACCTTATCCTCTTCTTCAGACTCAGAATCTGAGTCGAATTATGTTTCTGAAGAAGTAAGAGCCATCAAAGCTAGATTGGCTTCCTTCTCATCATTTTCTGATTCATTTTCTTTGTCAAGCTCATCCCATGTTGCCATGAGACTCTTCTTGAACTTGTTTATGAAGTTGTCCTTCTGATATCTTCCTTTCTTTGACTTGTCCTTTTGCAACTCTAGACAATCAGCAATAAAGTGACCAGACTTCTTGTAGTTGAATCATCCCTTCTGATCATCCTTCTCTTTTCATGAACTTGATCCTCTGAAGCCATTGCTTCTACCAGAGAACATCTTGTTCTTATTTTTCATATATTGAAATCTTTTAATAATAAAGGTCACATCCTCATCATATGAATCTTCTTTAAAACCTTCTACATGAGAAGCTTCTTCAGACTCCCAGACTTGATGAGCATTAGCAAATTTAGCAACATATTTTAAAGCAAGGGACTTTGACTTCTTGGCAGGTTTATCTCCATTGAGCTTCATCTCATGGCTCTAGAGATTATTGATAAGGCTTTCAAGACTTAATGTGTTTAAGTCTTTGGCCTCTTGTATAGTTGTCACCTTAGGTCTGTATCTGACTGGAAGACTCCTAAGAATCTTCTCGACATGATCAGAGGTTGTGTAGCTCTTTTTTCAGAACCTGAAGTCCAAACACAAGAATTTGAAACCTAGAGAACATGATTTCAATATCTTCATCTTCCTTCATTATGAACAACTCATATTTTTGTACAAGAAGATTAGTCTTAGCTTATTTTACTTGTTGATTCTCTTCATATGTGGAACATAGGGTAAAAATGGTCTTAGAAATATATTTATCAATAATCTTGATATACTCAGAGTGAGGTATAGCATCAACCAAAATGCCTCTAACCTTATGATGTTTTCTATAAATCTTTTTCTGAGTAGGTGTGAGAGTTTCTCTGTCAGATATCATCCCAACTTCATTGACTTGAATATTAATGCCATCTTCCAGAATATCCCACAACTCATCATCAAGACCTATGATATGATTATACATCTTGCTCTTCCACCATTCAAACTCGGTAGAGACTCCACTAAAAGTTTGAGGTCTAGTTGTATGATTATTCTTTTCAGAGGTGATATAATCGTGATTAATAGCAGCATGTAAATTAGGAGTTCCACTTTCAAACTCAAAAACTCCATACATGATTTAATATGTTTTTCTCAGGATCTTTTCTGCACCACTTTTAAGTGCTTAGCACAAACCAGACTCTGATATCAACTGAAGGTGAGAAAAACACAAGGAGGATTGAATTATGTTTCACTTTTCTTTCTTTTTAAAGCTCTAGTTAGATTCTAAGCACAAAGTATAGAATATGAACCGATCAGAGGTGAGATAAAAGCGGTGGATAAAGAATGCAAGAAAGAAAGAGAAACACAGAGTTATCCTAGTTCCTCTCACAAACCGAGAGTAGTCCAGTCTCATTGTACTTATAAGAGATTCTCACTATAATCACACAAAATTACAATTTGATCAAGCCCACAAGCAAAAGACTTTCAATGCTTAAACACCAACTAAGAAACTTTTATGCCCAAGTGCACAAGAAAGAGACTCTCAATGCTCAAGCACACAAGTAAGAGACTTCTATGCTCAAACACACAAGCAAGAGACTTCAAATGCTCAAACACTAAGTAAGAAACTTCTGACAATCTACCTAACAGATAAAAGATTGTTTGGAGTAATACACTTGATATACAATCAGAGGTCTAGACAAAATACAATGCAAATATACTATTTAAGATTTAGGGGTTTCTAAGATATACAAGAATAAAAAATTATAAGTTCAGCTTGTGCTTATGTTTTGACAGAGTAACTTCTCTTTCAATGACAATGGTTCATTATTTGTTCTTCAAGATCCTTATATAGTAAAACAAAAGTCTTTGGAGATCTTATACAAGAGAGTCTTTAAAAATCTTGAATAGACATTGAGATGTTTCTTCAAATGGTTAATGAGTTAGTGATTAATTAATGATATCAAGAAAGAATATGAATTTTAACTTTCGGACAAATCCTTGAATCTCATAGAATATTGACTTTAGATTTGATGTGGTGACAAAATCCAAAATCCAAACTCTTTTTTAACATTTACTTTGGCGTTTTTTTCCCGAAGTTTGTTATGTATTTCGAACTCGTCTAAATTTTAAAATCCAGATTCTAAGAATATTTTTGAAATTTTGAAATTTTTGCAAAGTGAGTTTGACATTAAATATAATTAAGAATCTCTTTTATATAATTTCTTATGAATCTTCTTTATATTTGTCACTTTCCATTTACTTCTTTCAATTTAATCATTAGCTAAAAAAGACCTGCATCAATACCGTATTTGATATAGTAGTAAAATAAAGGAGACAATGACATCAATTCTAAATAACGCAGTATTCATATCATTAGGTTACAGCTAGGGATGACAAAAATATTCGTACCCGCTGATATCCGCAGATAAAATATGTCACAGATATGGGGTGGATAGCTTAATGAATATTCACATATAAAATAAATAGATATTTAAATAAATATCCGTTTGTTAATGGATATAAATATGGATTTAATGATATTTGTGCCCGCAAATGTCCATATCTGTTAATAAATTATAAAAATCATTTAAATATTATTAGTTTATTATAACTTATCTTTTCATCTTCTAAAACAAATAGTCTTATTATATTTCATTCTTTTTTTTTTTTTTTTTAATTTTCTTCGAAAAAAACCTTTCACATTTCATTCAAAATTTTGTTAGTCATTTCATATTTAAATTCTTCAATACTTTATACGCTACTTCAACAAATTCACAGTCCAACCAAATAGTATTGTCATTCTTCTGTCAAACCAGTGTCTCCCTGCCTACTTCTGTGTCATTCGCTCTTCTATCATAACTCACAAATCACAATATCTTCTATTTGTTTAGTTAAAAATAAAATATATGTATATTATGTTGGATCTAATTATATATTAGTGAATAAGAAGAAAATTAATATAATAAAATTTTATTGTTTAATTAAGTACAAATTGTATGGATATTATTTGATAATAACTTTTTGTGTATTTAAAAAAAAGTTAAAAATATTTTTTATAAAAAAAATATTATCCGTGAATATTTATAAATATCTACGAATACCGTAAAATCCATGGATTACCCGCTTATCAGATATCCACATAAATATGAGACGGATATCAATATTATATTTATCTAATGGAGCGGATACGGATATCATAATATCTATCTCTAAAGATATCCATTTACATCCTTAGTTACAGCTAGCTGTTTCAATGTCCTCATAAACCATACAATAAGCACAACAAAAAGGAACCTATACAAACTATATTTTCTTTTCTCTTGTTGCTTCCCTAAACGTCTGCAGCGAACCAAAAAAAAAAAAGGATATCAGTGCTGCCAGGTGTGATCGAGTTCGTCTCTTAAAATCCAACTATACCAAGCATATCAGGACGGTTGACTATTAAGACCCGGGCAATGTCAACATTGTAACTTCTGTTGATTATTGCTAGTTATTGCTAGTTTGGTGCATCAAAGTGTGTACTGCACCAACCAAATGTATTTGCAAGTCCGGGCCATGTTCTATTCGTTGAACAAAAGCACAGAGATGATCAAGTAAAATTCCCAAAGATCATAACACAACCAAAGAAAACTAACTCAAGCTTTGATGCATGAAACTTTGATTAACAGCTGGTGCCTGATTGTCGAAGGATGAATGCCTGCTTATAATGCAAGGGCTTACTCTAACAATGCCATGAAGATCTTGCATTTAGTAGTATGATGATAATCTATTTATTTACAAAATCTTATTTACAACAACAATCAAATTTATTTCTTATAAATAGCATTCATTAAAAATGTAGAGGTATTCCAGATATTCAACTGAGGATACAAAGAATGACACCTTCTGATCCGACTGAAGCTTCAGAGAGAACAAGTTGAATGCTGTCTTAGTGTTACTACAATTTAATACAAACAATTTAGTCTTTCTAGAAAGTAAAATCATACAACTGAATCCAAGAAAAGCTATCAGAATCATGATTCAATAAGCATGTCTCACCTCATAGATGAAGAAATGTTGTCATTTATGGATTTGAATTTGACAAGTCATTCCCTAGAAATATTTTGAAAGTTGGTATTTCAGCAAGACTAACTAGATAGATAGCTACAAAAAGCAAGCTACAATAAAACATTAGCACGGGCTCAATTGAAAGTTAATGTTTTTTGGTTACGTTAAATAAAGATACTAAGTATACCGTCACCAACAACTAAGCCTTATCTCATAAAGTGGGGTCGGCTACATGAATCAAACTTTGTCGTAATGTTCTATCAAAAACCATACCTATGCTTCTATCCAACTTATTAATCTCGAAAAAAGATTTAATAGTTTCTCTTATAATTTTTCTAAGTTTTCCTCTACCTCTAGCAGTTTGAGAAGGGGAAGCATATATTCTGCTTGATGACAGAAAAAACTTTATCGAGCAAATAGAGAAGGTCTTGCAATATTTGATCAAAACATATGCTAAAAAATTTCATAAAAGACAACAGTATAATGGCAAAATGTCTTAGTTAACAATCAGGTTAGAGTTATGGCCATGTATAAATCCACTGAAATATACAAAATAAAATATGTACACTGAAATATACAAAATATATACAATACAACCACTCCCAAAAACAGCACCTATTTTTCATCTTAAATGTGAAAAGCTAAAGATCCAAATTCTATGGGTTTGTTTGAATGAGTTTTAGTTTATAGTTTCTGAAAACTATTTTGTAAATCAATTTTAGAAAAGTTTGGAAGAAAAAAAAATGAAACATGTTTAGTAGTTCTACTTTTAAAAATCGTTTTAAAAAGTGTACCACTTTTCCTTGTTTTTTCTTCTTCCTAATTTCCAAAACTAAACCAAAAACCAAAAGCTTCTAAAACCTATTTTATTTTTTAGTTTTTAAAAATCTCAAAAAGAGAATAGTTTTCAAAAACAGCTTTATAAAATTAGACTACCAAACAAATTTTATTATTTTCAAATTTTATAAACTAAAAAACAGTTTTACAAAATCAAATCAACCGGACCCTAAATGTGGGCAACAATTTCTTTTCACAACAAAGTCAAATATTATATGGAAGTTGTTGCCAATAGAAAAATTGAAGAATTTAAGAAATTATAATACAATTAACACAAGTCTAGAGAGTGTTCATTTTGAAAGGGGACACTGAGTATCAAACTATTTTTTGTTTATAGAACAATTACCTGAAACAAGCACATCAGGAAGCACTTGATCTATTATCCGATTCTCTTCTGATACTTTAGAGGCACTCCCTACATTCATGTTTGCACGGGGTATGGATCCATTGCTTTTCTTCACCACCTTTGCCTTTCTGAGTAAATCAATATGATTAAGTTGCAATTTCATATCAAATCAAACATCTTATGATTTGAGAAGACGGGATATTATAACTTAACATCAAGAAATTATGCTCAAACCTGATTATCTTTCGCTTCATAATGCCTGCTTTTAGTTTTGACACCCCTAACCCTTAATAGACCATGTAAAACGTTAATTAAACTGCTGCATCTATGCACAAACAGAGGAGAAAGAATAAAATGAAAGATAAATCACTTACCTGGTTTAAGGGACATAGAAGTTGAAACAGGTTTGCGATTTCCCCTCTCAGCTTTAATAGAAGCAATGAGAGAATCAGCATTCAGCCCCAATCCTTTTCTTCCCACCAGCTTCACTCCTAGCTTTTCGCAAAGGTGATTCAATCTCATTTCATCACCTCCCCTTACTTCTCTTAGGTCAAGAGCCTGTTGTCTTGAGAGCAGAGTGTAAACATGAAGCTGCTGCTGCTGATTAAAATGTGACTGAAGCTGCTGAAAAAGTAATTTGTTTGAATGCTGTTGTTGGTCTTGTTTGGCAACTTCGTGATACTTCTTTTTAGGTTCACCAAATGTTACCCTCAAGATTGCAGGTGATTTTGGGTCTGCATTCTTCTGAGCAAAAATGATAGAAAAACTCCCAAATTCTATATCAGGTTCTCTAAATAAATCTGCGAGAAGGGAAGCACAAGTATGAGCATTTGAAGGAGCCTTTTCAACTTTCACATTCATTGATCGATTATTAGCATGGTGGGCCATATTTGCTGCTTCTCGTAGGCCACTTAGAAAAGCCCCGTGCATAGTAGCAGGATAGCGCCTATTCGTTGCTTCCCCAGCAAAGAAAAGTCTACCATCTCCCACACTTTCAGCTAAAATATCATAATCATCACCTGAAGCTCCAACTGCAACATTAGAGTAAGAACCAAAGCAGAAGGGATCACTACCCCATCTAGTACAGACAGTTTGGATAGGTTCAGGAACATTGATTCCTTTCGGTTCATAGATACCTGCACACAGATAGAGCATTTTCTTCACACATTTCTTAAATAAAATATTAATCAGATCTAAAACAATTATAACCAATTTTGTTTTGACTGAAATTCAGAAGCAAAAACTTGCTCAGGATTTTAAAAAATTCTCCTGCTGAATAGAAGATATTAAGACATATATGGGATGGAATATTAAAATACCTTGTACAATAACAATATTGATAAAGAAGCGAATATTTGTGGTTTCATATAAATTAAAATACCAAACTGTTGCAGCTTAACATAAAATCAACATTTCCAAATATCTATGTGAAGAACCTATCAAAATGGTTGGCAATCTGAAACTGATCGTGATTTTTTCTAGATTCATGAAAAATGCTAAGTAGTTCACTGAGTAAGCTTTTCCCTGTGTAGTTTAATTTTATTTTTACTCCACCTGTGTAGTTTTATTTGTTGTAAGGCAGTACACATATCTTAAGAAAATCACCAATTATACTCATCTCCAAAGTAATATAGTCTTTTTTTTACTAGAAAGCTCTTGTGGTAGCAAGAGTTAGGTAGAAAAGCAAATTAATATGAAGTAGGTTGAGATACCAATAAACAAGAGTTTTGTTGAAAAACAAAATCTTCAAATTCTAATAATTTGAGACAAACATATTTTCCAAGAGCAAGTCAAAATAAAATGGAGGGAGTATCTATTATGAACAAAACTTATGGCTCAAGACACATACAAGAATTTAGGAAAGCATCAACAAAAAAATTAAGGAACTTAGAACTTGTTATCTAGTAAGTTACAATTTTATTTATACACATTTTGGGCACATTCTTATTAGAAAATTTATGATGAACTATGGAGCTAATGAAATACGATGAAAAAGAAATATCAATGCTGTAGCTTTAACATAAAGGTTACCCTTCAGAATTTGAAGAACCTTTGTTACTGCATCTGTAGGGGGCATGCTCTCAAATTTATGAGCAGCTTCACCTGCCACTAAAGCAATCAACAGGGGACCACCAGCAACTGTGGCATAACTGTAAAACAAAAAAAATTCCCCGCGACGACTTGGATCATCAGAAAGATGCCCAAATGTGTCAAGATCCATCTCCCAGAACACATGAGGAAAGAGCATAGCCACCTTATTCAGTAGACCAAAACCCAATCTTTTGATTCCATCAAGTTTCCTTTGAGGCAACTCTGGTATAAATTTGATAGATCCCTTCTTCAACACACCCAGGGGAACAGTACACAATGCCATATCACCCTCAAATACCTGACTTCCTGCAATAACCTGCACTCCAACACTACCGTACCTAATCGTATGTACAGTTTTCTCATATAAAATTGGCACATTCTCAGCCAAGGCTTGAACGAGCTTTCCGTTTCCTCCAGGCAAAAAACAATGATCTCCTCCCATATCATATGGATCATCTTGGTCCCAAAATGCAAGTGAAAGATGTGATAGTAAACCTGCGTTTGCATATTCTAAATTTGCAAGATGCCAATTGAACAACTTCATCTCCTCATCATTCACAGCATCCTTATACACTTGCCTGAATGTTTCCAGCGCTGCACCAAGGGACACGTCGACAGAGACCTCCCCCATTAACTGCCTAAGTCTGCTTGCCTTGTCTAACAGACGATTAAAAGCAGATTCAACCTTCATGTCCATATAAGGGTTAACCGGCTTTCCGTCCACACTATAAAGGGGACACTTATCTCTCACCTTATGAAGCACATCACCTAACTGTCTAGCAACAATCCCAAGAGGATTTCCTAAAGTCCCTGTCAAAACACTCCCACCTAACTCAGCAGCCGCGCCCACCCTACTCCCTACTTCCATTTTCTTTGTATAAACCCGCCCACCAGCCCGTTTCCTCCCTTCCAACACTGTAACTTTAAACCCAAACCGCATCAACTGCTTCGCAGCTGCCAACCCAGCAAGGCCGGCACCAATAATAATCACACCAGGCTTGCTTGGTTCGGTAGGGGTTTTGTCCTTAATTGGGGAAGCAACACCGAAATTGATATAACCATGTGATACAAGATAATTATAAGCAGAGTCCAAAAGTGTGTGGTAATGTAGAGGTATATAATCAGTAAACATTTTCTTAGTAACCCAAATAGAAACATTCTCACGCCATTTAGCAATAATGTGGTTCCGAATGAGAGTGTAATTCACCTGTTCGATCCCTCCAATGATAGGGATAACTCCAGTTTCGATCTCCTCCTCGGAGAGCGAATCTGCTGGAAAACCAGAACTGAGTGCAATCATTGCCTCCGTTTTGGCTTCTTTGTTAATCATGATAATTTCATCGGAGAAGTCGTATGCGGAAGAAGATTGCGTCAACGATGGCGGTTGGTTTCTGATTGAAGAAAATGAAACCGGAGCTGCAACAGAGGAAGAGGAAGAAGAAGTGGTGGCGTAAGAGGTAAGATCGTTGTTGTTAGTGTAATTAGAAGAGGCATTGAGAGTGAGAGGAGAACGAAACAACGCCGGATTGCGTTGGGACCTGCCACGCCTTCTCTTTTTGGGGACGGATAAACCAAGGTAATGGGTCAGGTTAGGGTTTTGGTCCCAATCGGGGATTGAATCCTGTAGAATACTAGGGTTAGAGTTTTGTTGAGGTGGTGGTAACTGAGAAGGAGGAATGAGAGAAAATTGAGGTGGAGGAGGAGGATCCATCACACTCGATTAAGGGTTGTTTTGTGTATTGCCGGTCAACAGAAGCTATCTTACGCGCCGCCCTCCACCACCTCCGCCATCGCCACCGTTCAGTTTCACTACCACACTGGAGTGAAATTCCCCGTGCAGCTTTCTTTTTTGTTGAATATCGTTAGTAATTCTATTTTTTATTTTACTTTTACGAAACTATCCTTGATAAAATACTCTAAATGAAAATATGGTGATTTGGCTATAACATATCCTTGTAGGTGGATCATAATACTTTTGTTGATTATACTACTTTTTTTTCTAAGCAGCAAAATGAATATATAAATTAAATAGCAAAGGCATCCTAATACAATAAAAACTGCAGCTAAACTAAATTAACAGGAAGCAAACCATCCACCGACTTACTACAACTCAACCAATTGATTCAATATAAATAACAGACAATTTACTCACTAACTGAATTACACTTAAATAAACCACAATCTCCAAAGCTGCCTTAGTAACTTAACAAGAAAGTTTTCAAACTAAGTAGAGAAATAAGACTCCGATGAAGCAAATAAGAACAGCTACACCCCAACTACACCAATAATTGAGCTTCAAACATAAAAAAGCACGCAACCAAAATGAATATTGGCCATCGAGGCGAAACAAACAAAAACACCAAAAACCAACAAGATTTCTCAAAACCTCGCAACAGCGAGATATCAATACGAACGAAAGATGACACTTCAAATTGAACTGAATCCCAACAGTTAAAAATCAAAAGTCGCGTGTAATACCCCAAATTTTGCCCTAAGCGTTTCACCTGACATTCCATTGCATTTAACCAGTCGCTAACAGATTTGTGTAGCTGGTTTGATTTTGCAGGAAAATATCATATGGTGCGCTATTTAGCTTATGAAGGGTAAAATGGTCATTTTGTTTGCAGCCGGTAGCCAATTCACGAATTTTGAGTTGCAGGCAAAAAATTTGAGCCGTTGGACTTTGGTGATGGGAGTTAGGGCTGAGGTAGGAGAAGAGAAAAGATAAAAATAAAACCCTAAGCTTAACCAACCCCTTACCTATGTCTCTCCCCGCATTGTCTTTACGATGCAAAATTAGGTTTTCCCTCTTTTGACATTTTCCTTCGAATAAATCAAAGAGCAGTTGTGAACTAAAGATGCGATTCAAATTAATTAATAATTTGATATCATATTCTAACCGCAACAGAAAACGGCGACTTCACTCGGGAGTAGTCCTAACTTTTAAGGGTTACCCCTACCTTGTTTATTATTTTTACTATTTGTTTCATTATTTGCTTGCTTCTATATATATATATATCTTGTACCTTGATTGGGGTATCTATTTTGTTGTGAGATAAGTCCTACACCCGGACTTGAGTGTCATTATTATAGAAAGATGATATATTCGACGAGGCTTATAGGGAGTGAGTCCCGACCAAGCTGACTCGAGAATCACCGCTCAGTTGAGACTCTTTCGAAAATGGTTTGGTTGAACGAGTAGTCATGAAAACTTTTACTATTGTTGATTGGAGTCTGTGATACTGGGGACCGTAGTACCTTAACACCACCTTGGCCTTATATAGGACGTAGTGCGAGGACTATGAGGGAGTAGTCCCAAAATAGTTGTTACGCGATACTACACTCAAAAGAGGTTCTCTTGAGAATATTATTAACCACCGAGTCAGTCAGGAAATTGATAATGTCTGAAAGATGGACTGATGACTTTGGTCACTTCTTTAGAACCCTTGTTCTGCAGGTACAACTAACCTATAGTACATACCTTTTGGGAAGGGTAGACCTTAACTCCAGTCATTGTTCCTCTAACCTAGGACCTTTGTTTGCTTGTGTGTTGATTGGGCATTGCATCCATACAACGTCATATCATTCCTAGTTTCAAGGAATTCAACTGTCCTTTGCAAATTCAGAAGGTCTTACGTTTTAAAGTCTAAAACCCGTTCCAACTTTCCTAAAAAGGAATATTTTTCATCGACCGTTGAAGTTCTTGAAACCATTGTATCGCATTAACATCATGTCTTGCATTGCATTCCCTCCCCCCCTCCCCCCCCGGTTTCTCATGTCCAGTTGTCTTTATCGTCCAGTGTACCTTAAGTCGTCAAACTGATTCCTCGGCACAGATATCAGACTAGAGCTAACTATAGACGCCTGATGTCAGAACAAGAGGAACATAATACGAAAGTCCGAATGGAGATCGATGAGTTGAAAGCAGGCATGACCAAGCTTACCAAGATGCTTCAAGTACTGATTTCCAGAGGAGATCCACCTCAGAGGACCGTCATTCAGGAGGCTTCCAGTGTTGATCCACCTCCTATTTCATGCCACCATCTACTTGGCCGGAGTTTGGTTTACCTCATAACTACTCTCCACCTATTGCATCTGCCGTTACGATTGGTCAGACTGTCATACCGGTTTTTCAAGCTTCTGTCCTTACCGAGGCCAGACTTGTGGTCCACACTGTTAATCAGACTGTCCAAGCTCTTTTTGAGAATCCTCCTTATGAGTACAATGTTTTCGGTGTTCAAAGGGAAGACCAGGAGGATTTTGTTGAGCCTGAGATTACTCGTGAACAGTTTCAGATTATAAACAAGAGACTTCAAGCTGTCGAGGGTATTGATTTCTTCAACGTTGATGCCGATAACATGCGCCTAGTTTCTGGCCTTGTTTTTCCTGCCAAGTTCAAGACTCCTGAATTTGTGAAGTATCAAGGTCACTCATGTCCAAGAGCCCATCTAGTCATGTATTTTCGAAAGATGGCGGCTTACACCAACAATCGGAAGTTGCTCATCCATTACTTTCAGGATAGTTTGAGTGGTGTTTCACTCAAGTGGTATATGAATTTAGAGCATAACAGTGTCCATTGCTTCCAGGATCTTGCTAATGCTTTTATGAAGCAGTACAAATACAATTTGGACATGGCTCCTGATCGTCGTCAACTTCAAAGTATGTCTCAGAAGGAAAAAGAGTCGTTCAAGGAATACGCTCAACGTTAGAGAGAGTTGGCTTCCCAAGTTGAACCCCCTATAGCAGAGAAGGAACTGACAGGAATGTTCATGGATACTTTGTCTCCTTTCTATTGGGAAAAGATGATTGGGAGTGTCTCTTCAAGCTTTACAGATTTGGTAATTATTGGCCAAAGGTTAGAAGAAGGTTTGAAAAATGGTAAGGTGTCCAAAGCTGTCGAATCTTCTAATGGGGCAAAGAAATCCTATGGGAATTTCCATAAGAGGAAGGACGAGCAGACCAATGTTGTCATGACTGAATCAAGAAAGCCTCGTTAGGGACCTCAACCTGTTGTCGCCCCACAGCCAGCTTAGACTCCTCAACGTCCAGTTATCAGACAAGACCAGTATCGAAATAGGAATCAATTTGATCCTATTCCCATGACTTACATAGAGCTATACCCTGACCTAGTTCGATAAGGACTGATCACTAGAAGGGCTTTACCACCTCCTCCTGCCGGATTTAGGGCTGATCTACAGTGCGCTTTTCATGAGGGTGCCCTAGGCCACGACTTGGAGCATTGTTTTGCACTGAAGGCTAGAGTGTGTGAGTTGATGCGAGATGGAATACTTGATTTTACGGATAAGCCTCTAAATGTCCAAAAAAATCCTTTTCCAGCGCATCAAAAGTGAAGTTTCGGCCTGACCCCAGCGGATTATTTGTGTTTCAGACAGGATGGCTCACCGATTTAGTCATTAGGCTATTGTTTTTCGTTGTTTGTACTTTCCTTATTTTATTAGCTGTTTGCTTTTGAATTATGTTTGTACTTTTACATTAATGAACTGAGCTTTGAAACTTTTGATTTAATTCACTTTATCTATTATTTGCATCTTTACGTTTTATCTTTCAAATATTTGCTGCTTGTCCTAATTTTTGATATGTAAAGATTGGAGGGAGGATGACGAAAACGTTATACCCATAACTGCTGTCAGTATGCTTTCAATCAAAACTTTGTTGACGATGTAAGGCATTGTTTCAATCCCTCAAACATTGGAGAAATAAGGAAGTTAATCCTTTGTCACCCCCTTCGAGCCTAGAAGTTGGAGTTTCTTTCTTTACAAAAAAGACCGCAATCTTAACCTGGGGCGTGGGTAGTTCTCAGTTAACTTGGTTATCTATTCCGGCACACAGCAAGTAAGTGTCGAAGATGTTTTCCAAGTCAAAACGCTGATGATGGTTCACCGTGATCATTAAGTCAAGCAGTCACTTTCTTTCTTCAAAAAAAAATCAATCAAAAGAAAAAGCTCGCTAAGTCAAAACCTATGAAGGAGACTTAGGCAAAACTGGGGCATCCCGCTTACTGTAATCTTCACAAGAAACAGTTCAGGCAAAAGTTAGGGATAATAAAAAGAGGTGACCTTTAAATCCTTACCCTAAAAAAATCCCAATGTCAAAATAACCATATGTTGTAAAGAAGTAGTGGATGCCTTTCCATAGGTCCTTGACTTCTAAACCATCATTATTATCAGTGCAATTCCTAACCTATAAGAACCTGAATGCAAAATATGAGTTAACTGAGCGTATGACTGAAGATTATCACGTAGATTGGATTGGTACAAATAAATTTTGAGCCTTTATCCTTTGTTTTATAAATAGTGAACCAGGCCACGTTACAACCCTCAAAAGACCTAATTGAAGCAAGGTTATTTTGAAAGCATACTACAGCAAAGCTGCATAAGCTAACTCCAAAAGATCTTTGCGAATCATTTATTCTGGTAGTACACATTTATTAAACTTTGAGCGTCTCGAACCACCGTGTTCTGATTAACGACTCATTTATTTTTCATCTTTCAAAAGTGATTTTGATTTCAAAAGTTGCATGAACTTTGCATTACCATGTTTGTATTAATATTTTTGTTTGCAAACTGGCTCTCCTCTAAGGAATTTTCAAACATAGAGAAACTTGGTCAAGCGATCCTATCAAGGGCAAGGTCTTCTGAGAGTTGGTTTATCCAAAAGATTTTTCAAGACTCAGACTGGGGCAAGTCTCCG